GATTGTTCGCCCTCAGCCTCCCTCCTCCCGAATTTCTCATTCGCGCCTATTTTTCGCCATCTGAGTTCTCACGCTTTTTCGCGAGCCCTTCCCTCCTTCACGCCAACGACCCCTCCCCCACCCCCCAAGAATTACACCAATTCGCTTCGCGAAGAGGAAAAGGCACTGCTTTACAGACAGATTTGGGGTGTTTTCGCCCGTGCGTGAAGTCTCCGCCCGCCCCTCCCCGCCCCGTTCCCTCCCACCCCCTATGGGTCCCAGAGTCCAGCCTGAGCCTGGCCCGGACGCCGCGGGCAAGGAGCTGGGCCGGCGGCGCTCGCTCAAGGTCAAGGTGGTTGTGCAGAGTCAGGGAAAGCTCCGCCATCTAGCGCGGTGCCAGCCCGCGGCCCGCGCCCCTGTTCTGAACAAACTGTTTGGGCCAGCCTGTAAAACCCCTGGAAATAGGCTGTTCCAGCAGAGCGCCGCGAACTGGGGAAGGCACCGAATGTTCTGCTCAAGGAATGGAGTGAAGGGACAAACAAGCTAGACCCGGGGCAGAGGCCAGAAAGGAGGAAACGCTGCAGGAGGAAGTTCAGGAGGCGAGAGGCGTGAAGCAGGCAGTTAGTTCACTGATGAGGCACAGGGCCCAGCGAATTTGACAGGGCGAGTTAACTCCGAGCGCTAGAACCTTTGCAAAGCACCACCCCCAATAAAAGACTCCCACTTCCAGCTGACCCCTCCAAGCGACTCTAGTCAACTCAAGAGAACAAAATGACTACGACAGATAGGACTGGTGATGTTGTCTAGTAACCGAGAGTGTAATGAAGGAACAGGAATGAGGTTTAGGGCTCCCATTAGCCCCCATTGAGATGCTCTGGGGGTAAGAGCATCGGCCTCGCGGGTTGGATTCTGGTCAAGGGAACTTACCGGTTGCATCTCGGTGCACTGCACGCGGGATGCTGTCGGTGTGAGATCGATGTTTCTCTGTGCCTCTCCTCCTCCTTTCTATGTTTCTCTCAGTCTCTCCTCCTCCTTTCCACTCTATAAAAAAAAAACCAATGGAATATCCTCGGGCGAGGATTAACAGCAACAACAAAAAGATTGGAGTGACAGCCCTTGAGTGCGTCCCAAACTCTTGGACCAGAAAAGCCCCTGCGGTGCTTATTTAAAAGATGACTAGGCCTCTTTCCTGGAGATTGTTTTTGGTTGGTCTGGGGTGGAGCTCAAGAACCCGTATTTTAAGTAATGCTCCAGGTGATAACTTTATAATTTTGTGTATTTGGGAGACCCTGTTTTGGTGCTCTGTGCCAAAAGTTCAAAAATCAAACAGTTTCCTGCTGCAGTAAGCAAAAATACCTAGAATATAAGTGACCATTTAGGCTAATTTCTGTGGTTAGTTAATGTGCTGGAAATGTTAAGTAGTTTCAGTCACTGGTCCCAGGGCACTGGAATTTATTTCCTCGAATGAGTAGTTAAGTTAGTAAAAACAAAGCAGTTACCACTTACAGATCATTTTTGGTGCTAAGTATTTTTTTCCATTTAGGGCCTCATTTAATCCTAACGGTAATTCACTGAAAGTAGATACTATTGTAACTATTAAGAAAAGTGACTTGCTTGAAGCCCTGAAGGACAGGGAAGCTATGAAACTAATTCTTACTGAGGAGAATAATAACAGACTCCCCCTCACTCCCAGAATTTTAGTTATTAAAAAGTGAAACATGCCCTAGCTGGTTTGGCTCAGTGGATAGAGCCTGCAGACCAAAGGGTCCCGGGTTTGATTCCGATCAAGGTATCCTACCTTGGTTACAGGCTCCTCCCGGGCTGGGGGCCTGGTCAGGCATGTGCAGGAGGCAGCCATTCAATGTGTTCCTCTCACGTCAGTGTTCTGTCTTTCCCTCTCTTCCACGATCCCTAAAAATCAATGGAAAAATATCCTGGGGTGAGGATTAAAAAAAAAGAAGAAATACAAATTCTCAGGGCCCCACACCAGACCTATGGAATCACAAACTCTGGGGTTTAGCAGGAGTCTGTGTTTTAGCAAGTTTTTTGTGTGATTCTGATGCATGCTCAAGTTTGAGAATTGTTCACTTACCCCTACCATGCCATCAAGTGACCTCTCTCAGATGCTCACACCAGGTAAAGGGAAAAGGTTAAAAAAAGAAGAGATTCTTTTCATGTTACTGATGTAACAGATTATGGGATATCCTCCCCCCCCCTTTGGTGTTCTAAATTGTCAGACTCTATAGGCAAACTGTAAACAAAATATACAATAGAATGCTCTTAATTTAGTATGCAAAAGGACTGTCACTCTATGATCACCAGAAAAGGTTGAAACCGACCTTTGTAAAATAGATAACAGGAAAAGTGAGGTATGCTCGAATGTGAGGTTATTAATTGTTCGAAAACATCTTTCATAAAATTTCATTATGTGGACGAAAAAGGATTTATATGGGAAGTATAGCCTCACAAGGTGATCTGTTCATTAATTCTTAACTGGGCGGGTCATG